AGGCTGAAGCTTGTGAAGGTGTAGTCAGAAGCATTACAGGAGACCTTCACTGAGACTCTGAGCCTCCTGAGCTCAGCCACAGACTACACCAGCTGTATCAGACTATACCAGACTGTACCCAGGCATATGCATCTGTGGACAGAAAATGGGAGTGTGGGCACTTACATGCTCTGGTCTAAGGCTCAGCCTGACAGTGGGGATCCCCTTAGCTGTGGTAGCCAACACTGAGAATTCTCCAGATCAAGTTCATGGTGGGGTTGTGTGCTGGGGGATTCTGTGAAAGAGAGGTTGCTGTGGGATGATCTAGGGCAGAGTCATGTTCGTATTCACCAAAGCAACCTCATGTTCTTTGCATATTCGTAAGTCAAGAACTTACTCAGCTCAAGACATGAAGCACCTTGTGTATGCGGGGGGGGGGCTGGCATGTACCTCACGGTCCATCCTACAGTAGGGTTCTAGGGCCCATGAGCTTATCTTACCTGAGTGTCTCACCCTTCTCTCCTTGCTGGGATAAATGCCAGACACTCAAAATGAAGGAAGGAAAGGTTTATTTAACTCAGAGTTGTGGAGGCTTCAGTGCATACTCAGCTGGCTCCAAGGCACAGAGACACATGGCAGAGAGCACCCTTTCATGGTCATGGCAAAAAAGAGAGCAAAATGGAGGAGTAGCAGCAACAAATGGCTATAGAGAGGAAGTCTGTCTCCCTTAAGATGCATTCAGGCTATCTGTCCCTGGCTGGGAATAGTACTCACACCAGTAATCCCAGGGGATTAACTCCAGAAGTCTGTCCCATGACTACATGAGGGCTTGGGAGGACAAATACACACAATCCATAGCAATCCTCAGGCTAGCATGTGATATGTGGTCCAGAGCTGTTCATCAGATGCCATTTAGGATAGCACGTGAATGGGGATAGAATGACTCATTTTCCAAAATCTTATATAAGACTCATTTTATGTTTGGGTCTTATCACCAATTTGAAATAATATCATTATATTGTTTCACAGAAAAGCAGTTTATATTCATTAATCTACATCATTATTCACTGATTTGATCCACAATAACCAGTGATACTGAACCTTTCAGAAGTTTTCACACAAGGCACCGCCTGCCCCAACACACGGCCATTGGTTTTCCTCCACTGACATAGACCCTGCATCTGACATTCTCTCTTACCTTCTACCACTGTGCCACTCACTCAGCACTAAGGTTAACACCCAGGCCTCAATTAGGTACTAAATTGTGACCCTGGAACACATTTGTCTCCCGACATAGTGAACCACTTGGGTTAAGAAAATGCCTTCCTCTGTTTCACTGCCCTACTACTGTGATATTCCATTACAGTAGAAATAACTGGAGGCTCTCCTTGTGCTGTTTAGATAAATTCACACAATTATACAGCATTTCTCAAACATGTGCATCATCTATAAACTTCCAATTTTAGATCACAGATTTTTAAAGGGGAAGACTCAGGCCCAGGAGGATAGGGCCCCATGAAGCCACCTGCTCCTAGGCTGCAGCTGTGCAGATGGGATGAGAGCTCCATGTTTCCCATCAACCTTGCACACATATTCTCCAGATTGAAAGGTTTTTTTCTACAGTGTCCCTGGCCAAGGGAAAATTAAGGAACTCAGTTCAGTGGCTCTTTTAGGACTATCCTGATCTTCTCATAATGTCTTGGAAAAAGGGATCATCTCACTGAGCCTCCTACTCTCCTGGAAGTCCAGAGAGCAGAGGTTTTTCCTGTGGTTGGTCTCACAAAGCTAGACAATGATCTTATAAGATTCCAGATGCTCTTGTCATTTTTTTTCTAAGGGAGGGCATAACCATGGCACAGATTATGGGCATGGAAGCCTGAGGCCATTTCCCAGGGCCCCACCCATAAGGGCAGAGCACAGATAGTGGCTGCATTTGAATGGTGGCTTAAACATCCTTGTCTTTTGGAGAGGGACAGCTTACACATATACTTGATCCCCAAATACTTTATTCTGACTACATAGCGACCACATGCATGGAGACAGACATTATTTATAACTCTAGTGTCTTGTCCTCACAGTGCTCTGGACCTTTGCGTGCTGAGGAGGAGATGTCATACAGAGCCATCCCATCCAGCATGAAGGACAGTATGTGACTCGTGTGATCTGCATGAGAGGGTTGACTGGACCTATCCTTCAGGTTCCCATGCTTAGAGAAATAGTCAGAAAATGACACAGCATATGCTTATAGGATGAGGGTCTGTGGCATAAAATATGACTGATCTAGACCAAGGTCAAAGGCAAAGGTGATCTGTCTGTGTCCTAGACCTGTCCTAGCTCACCCAGATGGGTGGGCTGAATAGCAATAACCACTTGCATGACCATTATAGAGCCTTCAGGTCTTCTATATTCCTGTTCCCTGTGTTCTCTAACTTCACTTCTTTCTCCTCTCATGTACACATGTCTCCTGCAGCTGCTTCAGCCTGAATTGATTCTCATCATACTGACCACAGGGGATTCTATGCTCTCATGGTAAAGTCATTGTGACTTCCTATCTTTGTGATGTTCAGCTGTTGATCTTCACATTCCAAGACCTCTGCTCCTTTCTTAGGAATAGTGGATCTCTTCTAATTTGTGTCTTCTATTAACCTTATACTTGAAGTATTACGATGTGAAGGAAACACATGGAGGTGTTTCCATTTCTGTACGAGAATTCCAGTCTGACTCTCCTGATAGTTTGAACAATGAATTTTCCATGTACTTCCAACCCCATAGACCCTAATGTCAGGAGTTCAGAACTCACCTTGGCAACCCATGAATAGGTTCTCCAAAACCACTTGTGAGAAATGGGATGCTGTGAGGATTGAGTACAATGAGAACAGTATGTCACCCACTGCTTGGTGTATGATGTGCGCTTTTCTCCAAATGAGTCCATGCACTGAGGACAAAGGGACTGTCCCTCCAATGAACAGAGAGAAAGTCATTCAACATTGTCCACAGTCCTGCAGGGACCAAGAATGAACCAGTAAGGTCTGCGTCAAGGGAATGAACTCCATGATTAAGAAAAATAGACCCGGGGCTGGAGAGATGGCTCAGTGGTCTAAGGCACCTACTTAGAACAAGCTTAGCAAAAGCATCAGGGACCGCGGTTCAATCCCCCCGCACCACATGCCAGCCAGCCCTGCCCCCTGGTGGGCTGAGCT